ACAGGCACTTTCTTTGAAAGTTGGGAATATAAATACCACTTGATCCAGCAATCCCACTACTAATTATATATCTTAATGAAGTAGGAGCTATGTCATGAATAGATATATTCATACCCCCTTTTATTGCAGAACTATTTATGATATAGCAAAAAGTTGGAAACAACTCATTTTCCCATCATTAAAAGAATGGCTAAATGCACTGTGGTTCATCTATACAATGAAGTATTACGGTTCACTGACAAACTGTCAAAAATTACCAAAATACTGCATAACGTGGATGAAATTAGAACAAATTATCCTGAGTATCATACGTCAGTCACAAAAGGCCAAATATAGTATAAGACCACTAATATAAAAACCAAGAAATAGTATGCCTTCCAAAAGAATCTATCTTGAAGGGTTAAAAGAGATGAACATTGAGTTATCTGGAAGCAAAAACAGAAGAAAAATTTAAATATTAAAAATAAAACATGGTATATACATTGGCAAGAAGAGCAAGGAGGTGAAGTCATGAGGAAGGACGCAGTGGGGACCTTAAAAGGTGGGGCAATTATGGGCGTGGATCAGTGGTGATTAATTTTATAAAATACAATGTATGGCAATGGTAATATGAAACACAATGTAAATTGAAGAATGTGTGAAAAACAATGTATATAAACAAAACACAATGTATACAAATTTTGTGTGCAAACCAATATAAAATGAAAATCATTTTAAAGAGAGAGCATGATATAATATATCTCACTACTATTTTCATCTCTGTTGTTTAGCTATAATTTGAGGGATGGGAGGAATGTGAAAGGGGGAAAAAAAACCCAGTGTTTTCAGTTAGTTTGTCCTGCCTGGCAGATGTAAAAAATAAAATAAAATAAAAAATAAAAATGGCAGATGCCTTTTGTAAAGGAGAAAAAAATTTATAATAGAATGTTTTAAGTGTAGTTATGTAAAATTATGCATTTGATTAGCCAAAAAAAAGAATTGGAATTTGACTTGCAAGATTAAAAATGTGGTAAAATTCTAAGGTTTATTCTTTTTCATTTTTTCAAGTATTCTTAATTCTTTTTCTGTATTAAAGTAGCCTTTAGGCTGCTCAAAACTGTCTTGACTTCCAGCTCTAGACAAATAGGCTTAATAGACTAGGAGATAGCAAGTTTGTGCACAGTAATTCACAAGGAAAATAAGATTTCTAGCAGTTTTTCCAAGAACCATTAATTAATCTCTGCAGTAGAGAGGGCAGGAACCCTGGTGTCATAGCGGTTAAAGCACTCACCAAACAGCCACTCCAAGAGAAAAATATAGAAGTCTGTCTCAGCAAAGATAAATAGCCTTGGAAATCCTCCGAGCAGTTCTACTCTGTCCTGTAAGGTTGTCACCATTGACTCAACAGCAGTGAATTGAATTGGGTTTGACTGTGGAAGATTTGGGCCTGTGACAAAGTACAGTAATTTCCAAGTAGTAACTGTTTTAGAAAGCTATTCTTTTTCTACTCAGAAAATACAGTTATTGTGTAGACAAATTTGCTTAAGACTGTGTCTTCACAGGACGAATAAGAAACTTCCTATCTTGAGAAATTATAGTACCCTAAGTGTATTGTTGATGTTTTTGTTATGTACCATCGAGTTGCCTGCAACTCATAGCAACCCTATGTATGTACAACAGCTCTAAAGCCTGCCCTGTACTGAGCCAGTCTCACTGTCTCCAACACATCTTCCCCATTATTCCAGTCACTGTATCAATTCATCTTATCTGGGGTCTTCTCTTGCGCTGTCCCTCCACCCTTCCAAGCTTGATGTCCTTCTCCAAGGACTGGTCCCTTCTGGCCACATACCCAAAGTATGTGAAACAAAGCTTCAAAATCCTAGCCTTCAAGGAGAAACTTGGTTTCACCCTCTCTAAGGCAGACCTGTTTGTTTTCTAAGTGGTCAAGACTCTTCTTCAGCATCAAAATTCAAAGGCATGAATTCTTCTTTTGTCATCCTTAGTCATTGTCTAGTTCTCTGATAGATACCAAGTAATTGTGAAAACCATGGACTGGATCAAGCACAATCTAGTCTCTAGACTGACAGTGTTGCTTCTCAGTACTCTCAAGAGGTCCCTGAGTATATTTTCAAATCTAAATTCTCCAGGCCAGCATTAAAGACTTCTAGTCATCTGTCTCCCTCCCCAATAGTAGTTCAATATGAAGTGTATCCCATCAAGACTTCTGTGTAGTGGTTACTGTCTCCCTTCTTTTAATGGATCTCATATGATCTAATGCTACATTTTACATATGAAGTTATAAATGAAGTTACTGAATCTAGATAATTTTTTTCTTTTAAATATTTTTTGCTAACATAATATCTTCCACATATATAATTCAGTGACATCAATTACATTTTTCATGTTGTGTGTCATTTTCACTACACTATAGCACATCATATGACTATAAACTCAGTATCCCATGGGAGCAAGATGGGCAGTCTCCTCTTGTGTGTTTTACTGTTCTGAAAACCCACTAGAAGGTCAGTTATGAGTCAGCTTAAAGTTGATGATACACAGTAACAGCAACAACAGTGTCTCTAATCTAAAACTCCTCCTGTGCCACTCTTCTTTCCTCTGCTAAGTGATATGCTTTACTCTTCCTATTTGCTTACTTCATGTAAGTGAGACCAGATGGTATTTTTTTCTTTTGCAACTAATTTTACTCAGCCTTATATTTTCAAGGACCATCTCTGTCCTGGCATGCATTAGTACCTCATCTCTCTTTATGACTACATGGTATTCCATTGTGTACCACATTTGTTTTATCTATCTGTTGATTTTTATACTGACTGGAAGAGATCGATATTTGTTCCCATTCCAAAGAAAGGTGACCCGACAGAGTGTGAAAATTATCAAACACTATCATTAATATCACATGCAAGCAAGAGTCTGCTGAAAATTATCCAAAAATGACTGGAGCAATATGTCAGTAGAGAATTGCCAAGTGTGCAGGCTGGATTTAGAAGAGGTCCTGGTACTAGGGATATTATAGCTAATGTTAGGTGGATCTTGGCAGAAAGCACAGAATACCAGAAGAATGTCTCTTTGTGCTTCATTGACTGTGCAAAGGCTTTTGACTGTGTAGATCACAACAAGCTATGGCTGACTCTGAGAAGAATGAGAATCCTAGAACATTTGATTGTGCTTATGCGAAGCCTATACTTGAACCAAGAGGCAGTCATCAGAACAGAGGAAGGAGACACTGCATGTTTCAAAATCAGGAAGGGTGTCCGCGAGGCATGTGTTCTTTCTCCATACCTTTTCAATCTGTATGCAGAACAAATCATCCAGGATGCTGGGCTGTACGAGGAAGAATGTGGCATCAGAATTGGTGAAAGATTGATCAATAACCTATGTTATGCAGATGACGCAACCCTGCTTGCTGAAACTGAGGAGGACCTGAAGAGCTTGCTGCACAAAGTCAAGGACTGCAGCCTTCAATATGAATTGAAGCTCAGCATCAAGAAAACAAAGATTCTCACCATTGGGCCACTTGCCGGCTTCGGGTTGGTTGTTGAGGGGTTTGGGTTGTTTTAACAGTTTTAGTTTGCTTGGCTCCACAGTCAACACTCTTGGTACCAGCAGCCAGGAAATCAAGAAACGAATTGCATTGGGAAAGTCAGCTGTCAGGGACCTCTCCAGAGTACTGAAGAGCAATGATGTCAGGCTGGAGAGTAAAGTGAGCCTGATTCGAGCCATAGTCTTTGCAATTGCATGCTATGCATTGGAGAGCTGGACAATGACTAGGGATTAATTAAAGATAATTGATGCCTTTGAGCTGTGGTGCTGGAGAAGAGTGTTGAATATAACATGGACTGCTAGGAGAACAGACAGGTTTGTCCTGGAGAGGGTGAAGCTGGCCTGTTCCTTGGAGGCAAGGATTCTGAAACTTTGTTTGACATACTTCAGGCATGTTGCAAGGAGGGACCAATCCTTGGAGAGGGACATCATGTTTGGTAGAGTGGAGAAACAGCGCAGGAGAGGAAGACCCTCGATGAGATGGATCAATTCAGTGATTGGAGTAATGGGAGTAGACATATCAAAGACAATGAGGTTGGCACAGGATAGAGCAGGATTTAGGGCTCTTGTACATAGGGTTGCTATTTGTCACGAGGGACTCGATGGCTCATAACAACAACAATAAAATATTACAGATAAAATTGATATACATTTTGTCTCGTTTCCCAGACTCATTTCTTTCCCTTCCTTTTTTAGAGGCAACTACTATCATGAATTTAAGAAAAGGGGAGTATTCTAGTATTTTTTAATAGTTATTGCTTCAGATAGGCTTATCTGTAAACTATTGATAGTATTTTCTTATGTACTCTCAAATCTTACATGCATGTCTTCTGCAACTTGCTTTTTAAAATTCAATCTTGGCTTTTGAGATCCATTTTAGTTGTACTTAATGTTTCATTCCTTTGTTTTAAGTTCCTTGTAGCATCTCAATTTCCCTATGATTAAAATGTATAAAATGAGCTAAACATATTTCGAACAGACCTTTAGCTCTGGAACAGAGAGGGAAAACTTGCCTGAAAGCTTTCCACCATCTTTGATGTGAGAATGGGGTGGAAGTGTCTTTCCAGTGCAAGTGCAAGCTCTGAGGTAAAAGCATCTGGTCAAGGCCTGGGATAATAATATGTGCTGACTGGGTGAGAGAGAGAGGTGTGGTTTTAAAATACAATTATGCTTGGGGCATATGTTATTTAAGATACTATTCCTCTCTCTCAGCAAGAACCTGTCACTCTTGGTGTTGATGGCTGTATTCCTCTGCTATGGAAGAATCAGAACTAGAGTAGACAAACATCTCTTGGCATTTGTCGAAGACACAGAGAAAGACTCAAGTCTCTACATTCCCTCTGTAGTTGGTGAACATTTGTTGAACACCAACAGTGAAATAGGCACAGGAAGTGCAGCTGCTAGCAATATCTTTCAGCATAAGTAGGAGCCTTGCTGAGTTCTTCTGTCTTTTATTAAAGGTCCACACACGTCCCTGTCGGGGAGGATCAAGTCCAGCACATGGAACTAGTTCAGGATCTAGCACAAGGTTTTAACAAGAAGTATGGGGAGTTCTTTCCGGTGCCCAAGTCCATTCTAAGTAAGTAACAAACTTCTGATTGTTAAATCAGGGCATATTTTGAAGAAAGGGTTGGATAACAAGTGGAAATGTGGAACTCTCTTAGGACTAAAGTTGACTTTCACATGAACAGACTTTAGGATTTAGAACTAGAATCTCTATCTTTTTACTTTCCTTCCTTCCTTCCTTCCTTCCTTCCTTCCTTCCTTCCTTCCTTCCTTCCTTCCTTCCTTCATTCCTTCCTTTCATTGTAGTACAAGTATATCTCCTTATATTACTGAAAAAAATGGCAGAAAAAGAAATCTAAAAAGTGTGGCTTGTTGTGATGTCACATGACATGAGTAGAACTTCCCCATAGGGTTTCCTCCACTATAATCTTCACAGAAGCAAATTGACAGAATTTTTTCCTCTGATGAACCTACTAATGGGTTCGAACCACCAATCTTTTGATTAGCAGCCAAGAACTTAACCATGATGCAACAGGGGACCTTAAAAAAACCAACAACATCATAATAGAAATGAAATAATAGTAATAATTGTCATTTTTCAAATAGTAATGGAATTTATAAAATCAATTATAGCATCCCTCATTTAGTAGAGAAGGTATTTTTCCCTGTTCTGTGAATGAGGAAACTAAGACCTGGGCAAGACTAACTTTATTTCTGATTTATGTGGTTAGTTAATAGAAAAGGGGGGCCTTTATATGCAGTTTTTCTGACCCCAAAGCCAGTGCCTGTTCACACAAAGCAAAAACCACAGTAGTGGAAACTGCTGAATTACAATCTAGATAAAAGAAAACGGAACTGCTAATGCTCACATTCTACTGTCTTAAATCTGCAACAGAAATATAACGTTCAGTCCGTCTGCTGAACCTGAAACTTCACTTCCACTAGCAAGGCTGGTCTGGTCTGATACTTGTTTGAGAAAAGAAGCTGTAAGTCTCTATCAAGGTTTTAGTAGTGATGTAAACTCAAGGCACGGCCAGAGGTCAGTGAACATAAGCACTGCCCATCTTTACTAAACTGGCCACATTTTGAAGGCATCTAACATGTGCCTAGTATCAATTCAGAAACCTAAGACAAGTATGAATTTCCAAGATTTATTCCAACAGTTCTTACAAATAACTTTAGGGTTCCTCATGCTTTGAAATCAATCTTTTAGCAGTAATTTTTAAACGCTTGGGCCAATGATTATCTTACCTATTTTAATTGCATATGCTTCTGTAACAGCCATAAAATACTGAGCATTCGTTAACTCTGATTTATGGGGCAAGGCTTAGTGTCTTGATTCTGTCAGAATAATAAAGAAGTTACTCTCCCTGGGTGGGTGTGTGTGGGGGGGTGTGGGTGTGGGTGTGGGTGTGGGTGTGTACTGGCATATATTTACGTAATCATGGATAAAGGAATAGAAAGATGTTTAGCACTTCTGAGAACTGCTCTGCAACTTGCAAAAACACCATGATAGGTAGTTTAATTTGCTTAAGATTATAAATCTTTATGTGTATATATTCATTAAAGAGTACGTGAAAATGTGATCGACAAAATGTTAGCAGTTATCACAAAGTGGAGTTAATTAGGTATTTCACAGTGAGCATATTTTTATTATGTAAGAATAACAAGTCATTAACTGGGGTTGGCATTTTTAAGATCAAGCTCTAACACTCCTGATGATTGTTCTGTTTTGTTTTTGTGTTTGTTTTGTTGGGACTCTGTTGTTTGTTTGTTTCTTTATTTTGGTGTATGTGCCTGTATGTGACTGTTTTCACTTAGCGCCAATGAAGAAGGTAAAATCCCTTCGTGACCCTTCTGCCAAAATGTCGAAATCGGACCCAGACAGGCTGGCCACCGTGAGAATCACGGACAGCCCAGAGGAGATAGTGCAGAAGTTCCGCAAGGCCGTGACGGACTTCACCTCCGAGGTCACCTACGACCCAGCCAGCCGAGGTGGGGTCTCCAACATGGTTGCCATTCACGCGGCCGTGACGGGACTCACCGTGGAGGACGTGGTGCGCCAGAGCATGGGCCTCGACACTGCACGCTACAAACTGGTGGTGGCAGATGCTGTGATTGAGAAATTTGCTCCAATTAAGAGTGAAATTGAAAAACTGAAGACGGACAAGGGCCACTTAGAGAAGGTTTTACAACTCGGGTCAGCAAAAGCCAGAGAACTAGCATACCCTGTGTGCCAGGAGGTGAAGAAACTGGTGGGATTTCTCTAGTAACTTCCAACTGGTCACTAAAAGGCCTTTATGCCTTGTGGTCCATACACTCCAATGATGGCAGCTTTCCGCAGAGGCAAGATATTCCAGCAGGAGCACACCTCAGTTGTATACCTGAGTCTTGGCTTTGTGCTGACCCATGGTCTGTAACATTTCTTCTAAATATCAACAATAAAATATTGTGAATAGGAGGTGGAGAGGAGAAATAGATGTCTGAAACTTCAATCATTTGACACATACACCTTGGTGTGAATTTGTCTACACATATATGAATGAGGTGGACAAAAATCTCTTCTGTTTAATAAGTTGAGGTCTTCAAGTAACAGTCCTGGGGGTTACCATTTGGACCAATTTGTATTCAGATCACAAAAAACCAAAATTATTATTGTCATTCATTTTCTTTTATATATATATATAACTAAAATTTATTATTAATTTCAATGAAAATTTACAGAGACTTTGGATTTCCATTCATTCATTGTTGCACTTTTCTCCCCTCCCAACACTCCCCCTTAGTACGCTACCCTCTTGGAAAAGTAAAAGAAAAATTCTTTCATTGTTTTACAAACGCTCCCCCAGATCCACTCCACTATGCAGCCTTCGCTCTGGACTTCTGTCAATTTTGTCATTCATTTTCAAAGAGATGGTACGTGCTTCATTTACTTGTCTTCCCTGAAACCTTGCTGACTGTTCCAGCAAATACTGGTTTTCAATATAATTATTATTATTATTATTCAAGTATATAAAATATGAACTTCTGAGACAAGTTCATTATTTCAACCTGACTTGTTAATCACACAAAAAGTCAAACTACAGGATGATATCCTTAACAATAAATTCCTTGCTGTTTAGTCTCACCAACTCCTTTGTGAGATACTTAGAGAAGAAATTGCCATTTTATATAAACAATGAATGAATGGGGTTCAGAGAGTACAATTAGCTTGTCCAGTATCACTCAGTAAGAAGCAAATATGAAATTAAGCCTTTACTCCTTATTCCTGAGAGTAGTACCTTTTTCCCAATTAGTGCAAAAATCCTCAGGCAACTCATTTGAGACTCTAAACTTTCTGACTTTGAAACTGGGTCCTTAAGAACTACATGACTTAGACTACTATCACTATTTTTATCTGCAACTTGGCCAACAGCTGCCTGCTCTAAATGTAGGTTCTACCAATCTTGGTCTCATTTGATCTTCAGAATCCCCAGAAGCTAACCACACGCCGTGGCGTGAAGTCAGTTCCAATTTAACTGGACCCTCCATCAGGTGTCCAAGGCCATATATATATATATATATATATCTTTGCAGGTAAAAATGGCTCTTTTCCCAGTTCAACAGTTGGTGAAGGTGACCTCTGCTGACCTTTAGGTTAGCAGTGTAACATGTATACCACCAGAGCTCCTTCAAAACTACCATGGTAGGGCCTACATTCTCTTTCTTATTTGTGGAGGTACTTCCAAGCATATTCTACTAGACAAGTAAGAGTGAGGGCTGGACAAATGAGATCTGCCCAGTGGTGAGTAGAATCATCTCATTTCTCTCTGCCTCAGTCCCTCGAATAGCAAGTCATGATGAGACCCAACTTCTCTACACTTTCATTTCTCCCACCTAAAAGTAGAAGGTCTAATCCTGACCCACACACTAGGACCTACTAACAAGATGGATTTTATAACAAAGTGCTTGTACAGTTTTTTGGCAGTAAGTATCATGATCACCATATAAGATCTCACAGAAGAGATTATCATGTTGAACAAAGAGTTTTCAGTCCATGTCTCTTAAGAAGTAGAAGAATAGAACACTATAGTAGGGTGGGAGGTGAAAGGGGGGGGAGGAACTGTATTATACAATTAGAATTTTAAAACCTTCTTAGAATTTTTTAAGCCAACTTGGCTTGTATAAAAGAGAAGGAAATATTTTGCTTTTTGGATCTTTTTTTGATATTATTGTTGTTGTTAATGTGCTAGCAAGTTGAGTATGACTCCTGGAGACACTACAGGCAGCAGATCTGAACACTGTACTGTCCTGTACCATCCTATGAGGTATCTAGAATGCTAGAGCTGCCTCAGGCTCTTTCTGCCATTGCTCTTTTTACCCTTAAAAAAGAACTACTGGAAAATGATGGAATTAAAGATGGATCTATTGAATCAACAATTCATTTGTCAGTGTTTTTCACCCCTTTATAAACACCTTTTTGTAAAAGAACTTGACATTATGGCAACTGAGAAAAGGAAAACAAGGCAACTTCTAATAACTTCAAGACACAAAGCCTACGTAGGTAGAGTATGGGCTTGTACAAAAATGACCCAAGGGTTCATCAAATCTAAAATCAGTATATGATTGAGACACTTGCCTGAATGACTTTAGGAAGTTAATAAGAGAGCCAAGTCTGGAACCTAAATCCAAGTTTCATTTTCCATTTATCATTTACAGGCTTCTTTGTAATTGAAAGAAAACGCTGGTGGTGTAGTCAATTGGATTCACTGTTAAACTAAAGGTGTTGCCTCTCAGACAGTTCAAAAATTTGTTTTTTAAAAAAGAAATACAACTCACTGTTGGTTAGCCAAAAGGTTTCATTAAATGCAAATCAAAGATTATTCTGTATTAAGTAAAATATAAGAATCACTGAGAATACAGTACTTAAGAGTTTATATACTAAAGATTGGCAGTTGGCTTTGATAAAAAGTTTCTGTTAAGTTTGTTGTATACTGTCGAGTCAGAACCAAACCACAGCTGACCTCCAGGCAGGTTTTCAGGGCAATTAATCACACTGAAGGAGATTGTCCCTCTTTCTCCACAGAGTAGCTGGTGGATTAGAACCGCGTGCCTTCAGGATTACAGTACAACGTCTTACCATTAGGCCATTGGTCAAATCTATATACAAAAGACGGAAACAGTTCCTGGTCCTGCATATGTCATGTCTACAATGCTTAACTGTGTTTTAATCTCTTGCCAAACCTGTGTCATTTGATCTTGCTGAGGGTCTTTTATTATTTTTTTAAATTTTATTTTCATTCAAACATTCATTTATATTTTATTTAAAAACAGTTACAGTTATCAATGTCATTTATTACATCTAATAGAATCTTCACTGTACCTTGTCTTTAAAACATCTACCAATCACAAGAGGAAAATGGACAATCTCTTGCAGAAACCCACTGGAAGATCAGATATGAGTCAGGTCTGATTCAATAGTAATGAGTTTGAGTTTCTAATTGGAATATGTAGATGCAGAAAAACTTGTCATTTTAATGTAACTGTTTTCCATATGTTTTATAAAGTAATAGTGAAATATATTTCAGAAGATAATAATAATGATTAGATAGTTTTGTGCCCTGTAACCCTGTCTGCTGACAAACAGCTCACCTTGGAGAATTGTCACTGAAGCCATGATGTTAGTGTTTTGTCCTTTTGTAGTTCTTCATAGCTATCTTCATCCTCAGAGCAGCTGGTGGGTTCAAACTGCCTACCTTTGGGTTGGCAGTGCAACTGCTTACCCACTAGGCCATCCGAGCTCCCAATAGAGATTTAAGAAAATGTGGGGGATAAATAAGCTACTTGCTGTTTATAATAAAGTGATTGTTTTTCCAGAAACCCTTCTGATATACACCATAAAGATGTCTATCATTAAATAATAAATAATACTATTGAATATCCATAATATTGAGTATCTCTGGTGGCAGAAAAGCTGTGATGCTAAGCCAAAGTCAAGCTGTTTGACTCCAACAGCTGTTCCAAAGGAGAAAGATGAATAGTCTCCTTCCATTCCGTTTGCTGCCTCTGAAAACCCACTGGTATGTCAGCAGTTAAGAGTCAGTTTCAATTCTATGGTCCATAACAACTTGAGAATCAGGCATCATAAAACCAAATCAACTGCTATGGAGTTTACTATAACTGATTAGCTACCCCATGTATTTCATAATAGAACTGCACTGTACTCCATAGGGCTTTAAAAGGCTGTAAACTTTTGGAAAGAGCTCTGATGGCACAAAGGTTAGATGTTTGGCTGCTAACTCAAAAAGGTTAGCAATTCCAATCCATCATCTGTTCCACAGGAGGAAGATGTGACAATCTGCTTCCATAAAGATTTACAGCCTTGGAAACACTTGGGTTATTTCTACCATGTCCTATAGCGAGTCTCTGTGAGTTGGAATCAGCTTGATGACAGGTTTGGTTTGGACCTTTCAGAAATACATTGCCAGGCTTTCCTTTCCAAGCACCTCTGTGTGGATTTAAACCACAACAGTGTACCCTGCACAGTATTCAAAAGTATATGGAATATTATGCCTTAAGGCTGCACTGCTAACTGGTCAGCAAAAAAATATTGATCCCAACAGTATTCCAGAGGAAAGGTTTTTTTCTGTAAAAGTATTTTCTATAAATACTCATAAGAATGCAAGGTCACAAGTTGTTTTATGATGGCTTCCTTCTCAAATATGCTCATAAAGAATTAACTAATATTGGTGTACAAGTCTCCATTTAACCCTCAGTTCTCATTTTCTCTGGGTATATTCCAAGCAATGGAATAGATGGACCTTATGGAATTTCTGTGTTCAGCTTTTTGAGGAAGCATCAAGCTGCCTTCCGGAGTGGTGGTACCATTGTACAATCCCACCAACAATGTAAAAGACCACATCCTCTCCAACATTTATTACTTGCTGTCCTGTTAAACTTTGCCACTGTTACTGGAGGGAGATGGTATCTCATTGTGGTTTTTATTTGCATCTCTCTTATTGCTAGGGCATTTCTTCATATGTCTGTTGGCCATTTGAATATCTTCCTCTAAAAATTCTTTCCATGTCTTTAGCCCATTTTGTAATTGGGTTATCAGTCTTTTTCTTGTGGTGGCCCAGGAGTATTCTATAAATTTTCGTTATGAGATTCTTGTCTGAGATGGTATTGCCAAATGTTTGTTCCCAGTCACTAGGTTTTTCTTTTCACCCTGTTGGAAATTTTTTGATGAACACAGGGATTTAGTCTTTAGAGGGTCCTGATCATCAATTTTATCCTATTCAGATTGTACATTTTTTTGTTGTATTGTACAATGATGTTCATAGCAGTATTATTCATCATCA